TTTTAGTTGTATCTTGTTTTGAACCATATATCGCTTTCTGCACTTGTGCAGAAAGCGATATATGGTTCAAAACAAGATACAACTAAAAACCAAACAATATCGCTTTCTGCACTTGTGCAGAAAGCGATATATGGTTCAAAACAAGATACAACTAAAAACCAAACAAAAATTTTATAAAATTACAAGGGCTCAATTCCTTCTTACCTTGAGCCAAGTAGGCACATTACTCTTATACCCAGTTGCTAAGATTACAACTATGAATACGGCATTTCGGTTCATCCATTTGTCAACTTTTAAAATTCCTTCTTTTTATAAAATTCCTTCATTTTATTTTCCATACATTTATAGCATACTAGATATCATATTCATATGGATCAATCCATGGTTCCAGCTAAAATTGAGATTGCTCGAAATGTGGCTGGTGTTGTTGGTGGGTCTTCTTTTCATTAATCATTGAATTTCCTTTATCAATTCTCAGAAAATATGTCTTCTCATTGATTAATTAATTAGTTGTTTAATTCTGATCATGTGTGGCATTTATTTGATTTCCAGGAAATATCACTGCACTCTTCCTCTTCTTGTCACAAGCGTACGTAATATATTAGATTAAATGTTAATTTCCGTATTAATTAATGCTCCCTCTTCAATATTCTTAATTAAACTGCTCTAGCTCGTGATGAGAGATTTTCCATATCAACATTTGTTGACGTTGTTAATGAGAAATTAATTAAGCTAGCTAGATAATTAATTAATTAATTAATATAATTTGCTGCAGGCAAAATTTTATTACTTTACAAGAAAAAGGCAGTGGAACAATTCTCGCCAACCCCATACTTGGTGATGCTAATGAACCAGATTGTCCGGATCCTGATTGCGCTGCCCTGGGTGCACCCAAACAGCACCCTCCTCTTAATCGGCAACGTCACCGTCGGCATCATTGCACTCTTCTTCGTTATCCTCTTTCTCATCTACTCCGATAGGAATAAGAGGTTGCAGGTGGGGCTGGTGGCGCTCCTCGAGCTCATATTGGTCGTCGTCCTCACCCTTGTTGTCCTCACTCTTTTACACTCCACACGGCGCCGTTCTCTGGCTGTTGGAATTATCGGCAATGTCACAAGCATCATGGTGTATGCCTCGGCCTTTTCAGTCATGGTCAGTACGTTACATATATGATTCATAATATATATTAATATTAATCCCTAGCTTTTAATGAGTACATATATATTTGTTAATTTGTTTTGTTGATGATGATGATGATGATGATGATGATCAGATACGGGTGATAAGGACTAAAAGTGTGGAAGACATGCCCTTATCCTGCTCTTTGGTTTCCTTTGCCGGTGCTTGTGCCTGGACTTGTTATGGCTTACTCCCTTTTGACCCTTTCATCTGTGTAAGTAATTAAATATATATATATATATATATATATTTGTTAATTTGTTTTGTTGATGATGATC